ATCCATCCTGAACAAACGATTCTCAATAACTCCTTATGAAATCTTAAATAATCGCAAACCTAACGCTAAGTTTTTCCACGTTTTTGGTTCCAGGTGCTTCATCTTCAATTCCAAAGAACAACGGAACAAGTTTGATGTGAAAGCTGATGAAGGTATATTCTTGGGATATTCACTAACATCCAAGGCAAATAGGGTTCTCAACAAACACTCAAAGAAGATAGAAGAGACCTACTGTGTCACATTTGATGACAATTATCTAAAGCGAATTCAGTCGAACGAAAGTCAGATCAAGGAAATCTTTCCTAAACCTTGTCCAACAGTAATTCCTATGTCCAACCTTTATGAAGAGTTCATGTTACTCTTTGATGAACCTGAGAAAGCTATCACATCTGAAGCTAAGGCAGTGGACAATACAGTCGACGAACTTAAGAAGATTATCGATGATGTTGTGAAAGACATACCTCAACAGCCGTCCACTGCGAAAGAACCTCAAGACAATCGTACTACTTTCCAGGGGAAGAATTCTGGGTCTAACACACAATTCCAGGGGGAGGATGCTACACCTCTAACCGCAAATGCTTCTTTGCAGGGGGTGGGTTTCGCATCACCTATTTCTACTGTGCCTCCTTCTGATGGTGATTGTTCCCCACCAACTATGACCCACGAACCTCCATTCGCAGGAGATGATTCAATTCCTGAGGTCAACGAGTTCGCATCATTCGAGGGGGAGAATAAAGAAGCGAATGATGACTCGGACACTCAATCAGTTCTATTTTAATTCGAGGAAGTAAACATTGAGCTAAATCCATCCTTAGATCCAAATTATCCTCCCATGACCAAATGGACAAGAGATCACCCAAAAGCTAAAGTTATTGGTGAATCCTCTGTAGGTGTTCTTACCTGTTCTCAACTGAAAGCGAAGTAAACTGCATTATTCTCCAAAGTTGAATTTTGTATGTTTAATTCGTTCGTGTCCCAGATTGAACCCAAAACAATCAGCACTGCTCTCGATCATTATGACTAGGTGCAAGCGATGCAAGATGAACTCAACGAGTTTGAACGAAACAAAGTTTGGAGACTGATTCCAACTCCCCCAGATGCATCGGTTGTTGGTTTAAAATGGGTGTTTCGGAATAAAATGGATAAAGAAAGGAATGTGATCAGGAACAAAGCTAGGCCAGTTGTCAAAGGTTACTGCCAGGAAGAAGGAATTGACTACAAAGAGACATTCGCACCCGTTGCAACGTTGGAATCCGTTCGCATCTTCTTGGCATATGCAGCACACCAAAATTTTGAAGTTTTTCAAATGGATATGAAGTGTGCATTCTTTAATGACGAACTAGAAGAGACCGTCTATGTGGAGCAACCACCTGGTTTTGTAAACGAAAAATATCCTAACCACTGTTATATTCTTGACAAAGCAGTTTATGGTCTGAAGCAAGCTCCAAGACCCTGGTATGAAACACTAACTCGTTTTCTTAAAATGTCCAAATTTAAGCAAGGTTCGGTTGACCCAACCTTCTTTCGCAAGAAAGAGGGTGACCACTTGATGATCGTATAAATTTATGTTGATGACATCATCTTCGGATCTACTAATCCCAACCTAACAGCTGAGTTCCGAAAGTTGATGGAAACTAAGTTTGAGATGAGCTCAATGGGTCCAATTAACTTTTTTCTTGGATTAAACATTAGACAGGGACTGGAAGGAATTTTCATCAATCAGGAGGCTTACACGAAGACTCTACTTGCTAAGTTTGGAATGTTGGGAGACTCAAAGGCAAAAGTTCCAATGGCATTCGGAACAAAACTGACTCCTTCGCTGGATAAACCAGCTGCTGATATGACCCTTTATCGTCAGATGATAGGTTCACTCATGTATCTAACAGATAGTAGACCAGATATTATGTTTTCAGTTTGTTACTGTGCTAGGTTCCAAGCCAACCCACGCGAACCTCATATGGTGGCTGTCAAGAATATCTTCTGGTATCTAAAACGAACGTCATCTCTTGGAATATGGTATGCTGCGAATTCAGGTTTCTTCGTACACGCATTTTCAGATGTTGACTTAGGCGGTTGCGGTTTGGATAGAAAAAGCACAACTAGTGGATGCCAATTTCTTGATGGCAAGCTGGTGAGTTGGCAATCAAAGAAACAAACATGCGTTTCATTGTCAACAGCTGAGGCTGAATACATAGCTGCAGCTTCGTGCACATCTCAAGTCGTTTGGATTCAAAGCCAACTTCGCGATTATGGTTTAAGTATGAAAAGAATTCCTCTCTATTGTGACTCTGAAAGTGCCATTCGCATTTGTCACAACCCATTGCAACACTCAAAGACGAAACACATAGCACTGAGGTATCACTTTATCAAGGATCATGTGGAAGATGGCAATGCCGAGATTCATTTCGTAAAATCCGCTGATCAATTGGCTGACATATTTACCAAGGCCCTACCTGAAGCAACATTTAATAGAATCCTTCAAGGGCTAGAAATGATGGAAGTTGATTCTGTACCAAAACCATTTTCGCACTCATAAAATCTTCACTGCGAATCGGTGCGAACGTTCGCAGGCTTTCGCAGTCAACTGTTCATTCACAGTCTGTTTTATGGATGCGAATCAATGCGAACGTTCACAATAGTTCGCAACTCTATTCATCTGTGGTTTGGTATTTCATATATCCTTTTGTACATTTTGTATATACTTGCTTATCTTTATTTTCAATTTGTATATTTTATTTCTTTTTACTCAATTTATTTTTTTTTATTTATTTTATTTCATTTTCAGAAAATTTCCAAAAACCAAAAATAATTTATTTGTTTTATTTTATTGTTTTTCAGAAAAATCAAAATCACAAAAATAATTTTAATTTGTGTCTATTTTTATTTCTTTACTTTTTACAAAATATCAAAAATTCCAAAAATATAGATTCACACCAAGATCATAGACGAAGATGTCCGCAACATTTATCAACTTGTGTGATGGGGCAGGTATAAATCTCGTTACTTATGTATTAGCTAAGTGTCCCTAGAAGCATGCTGCTGCATGTTGACCTAAGACTCAACGACTTAACTGCCAAGCCTTAATGAGTTGATACCACCAATCAATTCTTCCAAATCAGGCTACGAATTCACATCAGTCATGAGCTACCTTACTCTTCTCACTTTGAGTTAAGAGTTGTCTGCTTGGTCACTTTCGCATTGCAGAGGTACTTTCACTTTCTTGTAACCACCTACTCTCTTCTCCATCACTTTCGCATCCATTAATGTAACCCTTGAGACTCTCAGAAATTACCACTGAGGTTTATGGTTACACAAGCATTTGTGTTAATGATCTTAGTTTCGTTCTACCACGAACTGAGTGAAACCCAAAATTCAATACCTTATATGAATTGACGGTAAACAATACAACGTTCTAGCATTTTCACCCAAGAATTAACGAAAGTCCATGTTCGTGGTCAGCACCAAGAAATCTCTTTTCTTTTGTGAGATCCTAATGAAATGTTCTCGTCCCAAGACATTTCTTCCAATGGATCTAGTTTATTTTTTTTGGAGATTTCAATATTTTTCCAAGTCACTCAAATATGTTCCAAACCTACTCGTTCAACTGACTACACTGGGCACACGAGTACCTTCTCCAACTTTCACACTTATGTCAAGTTCGTAGTTTGGATGACGGATGAACCACCTTAATAAGCCTTATTAAAAGATGTGTTTCAATGTTTCTCATCAAACATTTGATCTTATTCAACAGGAAACCACACAGACACTTCTTAGTCTCTCTTGATTATGAAGGAAGAGATCTTTGCCTAGGATCCATAGATTTATGTCTCTAGTTAGACATCACAACATCCCACAGATAAACTTTGTTTTATTTCTTTTTCTTTTACACTCTTGCACGAAGATCTTAATGATTTTCCAAAAGTCTAGTTCGTGGTTACTAATAACTTTCAGGTTCGCAATTGTATTCAATGTGCTTTCTTTACTGCGAAAGGAGATGAGCTGACGCGACATGTTTTAAAAGATAAGAATTCAAACGGGCGCGTGATAAGTTGAACGGACAGCTACATATACACCGCGTGACGCATGCTTCTGACTCATCACAGCTGTCAAGTCGCGCTTTTACATGCGACGGTTCAGTTTTCAAGACACTCTCTCTCCGGATTTCCCTCACCAAATCAAATCGTATATAAGGGTTTTGACGGTTCCATATCTCATTACCATTTTCAAACTCTCTATACGATTTCCTGCGATCACAAAGCTCTCCACTGTTCATCATCTTCTTCAAGCTTCATCAATGGCGGCTTCATCAGAAAATCTTTCTGTTCAAGACCAAACTGCTCATTCATCCCTTCTGGCAATTAAGCAACATCAAAATCTTATTATCGAACTTGATCCCGTTCGATATAATCCCTTTCTTCTACCTCTGATTGAATGCTTGAAATACTCACTACAAGAAAAACAGCCTTTTACGACGCGCAATGCGTGTCATAAAACGCTCAGACGACGCGCAAATGTGTGTCAAGGAAGGCCCTGTCATAACGAGAGACGACACGCTTTTGCGCGTCGTCTATTTACGACGCGCATTTATGACACGCATATACGACGCACAGTTATGACATACAATGCGTATCAATGAAGGCCCTGTCATAAAGGAAGACGACACGCATTTGCGTGTCGTAACCTTATGACGCCCGTGTTTATGACACGCCATGCGTATCAAGGATGCCCCTGTCATAAAGGAAGATGACACGCATTTTTGCGTGTCGTAATTTTAAATTTTTTAAAAATTATATATTTTTAATAGATTTACTAATTTTCAAATTAAATAACACATTAAAAGTCTTATAATACAAAATAAAATACCATAAACAATAAAGATAATTGATTGCACTAATATGTCAAATACAAATAATCATTCCAATAGTAAGTAAATGTAACACATTGCTAATATTGCATAATATTTATTATAGAAAACAAAAAATGTACAACATTAAAAGAAACCCATGACTAAATTCTCCTTTGACAATTTCCTTTCTAAGAGAATAACCTGAATGCAGGAACTTTGAGAGGCTGCAAGGCATGGAAGGAGGTTGCTAGAGCTGTCAGAACCTGCACAGGGAAAATCAGTAACTTAACATGCAATACAATACAAGATGATATGATAGAGAAAAGAGAAAAGTGAATACCCACCTGAAAGTTTGCACCTTCAAAAACCGGATCAAGGGTACTAAGGTCAAGCAGCCAATCAATGAATAACTTGAAATACGTTCTGGGGGTTGAATGATGTTTTCTTCTCCTAAACATCCTTTTGAATGAATCTCACAGTCACTGCTAACACCTGTTGCAAAAAATGTCAAATAATCTACTGTCCAACATATACAACTAATCACAAGTCTTGATTGTAATTCGCGATTCTAACCTTTGATAGAAGAGACAACTTGCTTACTCCATGGAAAAGCATACTTGTCTTGAATGTCTACATCTGGCATAAGGACAGTGTTAACAAAACAATATAACATTATATACCATAAGTACCCTCAAGTAATCAATCTCTTATAATGTTACTAAAATACCCTCAAGTAATCAATCTCTTACAAAGTTACTAAGAGACTTAGATACTCAGTTGGTATGTAATATGGCACTAAGAAGCCCAATAATTGTTTGTGTTTTTCCTGTTCCTGGTGGATCCTACATGGACAAAAGGTAAGAATTAACATTTTCAAAGTACAATGCCTCAATAAGGAAATCAATGGTAAAAGGCAAATCTGAATAAGAACAAACTTTATACCTATATATAAAGGAAGTATTGTAATACACAATAACAGCAACAAATACCAACTAACCCTTTGCTTACCTTTTCTTATGGCCACCTCCAGCATTTCGTTTTGTTTCAATTGCAGTGCTAGATGTGTATGACCTTGGCCTATATACATATATACTAGGAAGTATTGTAATACACTGATACTGATATGCATGTATGTGTGTGTGAGAGAGAGAGAGATAGGATCATACTTTTTCAATTATAGTCTAGGCTTTTACATTTTGTTAGGTAGAATTGAGGGTTTCTTTCAGTCAAACTTCATTCTTTGGTGATTTGTCAAGTATCTAATATGTGGGGCCTTTAGATTGATTCACATATCCCCAACTCTTATCTCAATTACCAAGCCCCTAAAAAGGAAACAATTTGCACCGATTAACAATCCAAAAAAATCATTTTGATGTAAAAAAATACTCAATTTTAAGTTATGAAGCAAAACAGACCAAAAAAAAAAATCCATCATCAAATTGATTCCTTTATATTACCATTTCAAGAAGATACTTTATGCATTGATCAGCTTCATTTATATTACTCACAAAGGGAGCAACTCATCAGATAAAAAAATCCTTTCAAGAAACATATGCAATACATAGAGACATACACAGAAAGATCAATCTTTCCAATTCCAATTCTTTCTCCAAAAAAAAATAACTTTTGTACCTTTTCCAGCACCTAAAGCGCCTTTCGCAGCACCTAAAGCGACTTTAATTTGTAGGTTCCATGAGAGAGGTTGAAAGTAAGAACTTCCTGTTATAATAAACAGATCATAAGATTCATTAATGATGGAGAATTTCCCAATTTGGATCAAAAATGGTGAAAACTTACTTCTGAAAAGATGATTTTCCAAGCTCCCTCTAGACATGAACTCGTATACCAACATGCTGTGATCATCTTCTAAACAGTAACTGATTAATTTCACAAGATGTTGATGGTTTAACATCCCTAAATAATTAATTTTTCCTGCAACATGATCAAAAAAAATAAATTATGAGTTGTAATTCATTGAGTTAAATATAGAAGATTCGAGAATGAATTTGTCTTATGCATAAGAACATACGAGCCATTCTTGAAGACCTTGAAGATCTCTTGATTTAATCTCTTAACAGCAATGACAGTTCTAGTTCCAGGTTTGTCGGTTGTAAGTGATTGTTCATCGATCCATCCTTTGAAAACCGACTCGGATCTACCTTCTCCAAGAACACTATCGAGTCGGAAATTTCTTGTAGCCAATTATACACAACAAAACTTCATAAAACAATAGTAACTAGTAGAATTCTTTCTGATATGATGACTTGGAGTTGGAGATAAAATTTCTTCCTTTTGAATTTCATCAAGTAATGGTTCCTCATTCTGTCCACCTGGTTTTCCTTTAATCTAAACAAATTTTAAAAGCAATATCAGAAACGGATTAAAAATTTTTAACTACAAATATCTCGATAGCTTTGACTTACAAGCTTCGCATGAGCTTGTTTCTTTTGGGCTTCTCTTGCTTTCATATCTGCATCTGGTGCTATATAATCCAATAAATCTGATACAACTGACCCAATAAAAAAACATCAGTATCCTGGAATGAACTATTCCATTCCTTTCCTGATTCCAATAGCCTATGCTTACCTTAGATGGCCTTTGCTGGATATAGAGGCATCAGGCTTTGGGGTACCATTGTGTGCAGCTTCTTGCTGTTCAAGGGCTTTGGACTCAAAGTATTCAAGCCACGCTGCTGCATCCTACAATATCTTAATACATACACTTAGTAAAACTAAAATTCTTAATGTGAAAATCATAAAATAAAAATAATAATAAAAAAAATTGTGTAAGGTACCTGAGTACGAAGATCTTCAGGTCCAAGTTTAGCCTGTAGAATCTGTAAAGTGGTTTGCTCATGTTGAACACTCAAGGAATAGGCTTCCATCAAGGTAAGAGCAATTGCCATAGCATGGTAGCTAGCAGCAGTCTGACACAAGTGTTAGATACAAAATGACAAAATATAATCTTCAATACATATATATATATATATATATATATATATATATATATATATATATATATATATATATATATATATATATAAAAGTAAAAGTGAGAGAAAGATTACTTACTTGTATGTGATCGGCTCCAAGGAGTCTTTTATTACACTTGAGAGCCTCATGAAGATACCTAAGAGCAACATGAACATTTCCTAAACCTTCTTCCATCATTTCTACATTAATGTAAGTAGCAGCAGTATTCGGGTGAGATGGCCCACATGTTAGATGCAATAGATACAACGCCTGATTCACATACCTACAAACAAACACAAACATAAGCCAAATACATTCTTCTCATTTTTTTCTATGATAAGTTTTTATTGTTTTTAAGAAAGAAAAAAAAAACATACTTGAGAGCCAACTCAGTGTGTTGGAGCCTGTAGTAAAAAACAGCCAAGTCCCCATAACTCTTCATTGTATCTGGATGATCGAGCCCAAGTTCCCTCTCGTTTATATCCAAAGCTTTTTGTTGGTAGATAGTAGCCTAATAGATAGGGGAAAATTTCGTGTATACCCTTGTGAAACAACAAAATATCGTATTTATCCAACTTAAAACCTAAATGTCCTTCTTGACTTTTAAAATATCATATTTGTCCAAATTTATTTTTTGAATATTTCTTAAAATCTTTTTATCACTTAATCAATTTAACCTAAAAATAAATGGCTAATTGACCAACTTGCCCTTTGATCTTAAACCCTTTTCCTGATTACGTAATGGAAGCTACGACTATGATCTGCACCAACTGAAACCATAAACACACGACGCATGCTGGAAAAAAAGCTTCATTCAATGTCGCCTTCAACAGCATTTGTACAACAAAGAAGCGGGAAGATGGGAATTAAAGCCGGATCAAGTAATTGAACGTGAACATAGACTGATATTGTCAATTTTGATAATCGATCAAACAATTCTGATTCATAACATTTTGATTGGAAATTTCATATTATCAAATTTTGATTGAAAGTTCTGATTTTTGATTACTCGCCTAGTACTTAAGTTGAACGATGTTTTTCATCTTAAATTACAACCTATGCGTACTCTGTTACTGATTCTAAAGTAAATGATCAAGAAATTGATCCTCTCGATTGAAGTGGTTAAGGAAGGAATTTACGCTGTGTATGTGGAAAAAGTTTCAAACATGAAAACCCATCTTGATAAGAGTAAAATCAAAGGCCACCAGCAATTTGTCGGTAGTTAATCGATGTGGTTAAGGAACGACTTATAGAAAAATTGGGAAGTCGGTTGTTGGTGTCACCTTTATTCCTCCTTCCGATAAATACCTAGTGGTTGATCAATTGGTTTCTTGATGCTGAACAAAGGGAAAAGGCGTAGTTTGAAGCCTGCATGAATTCGGTGATACAGTACTTGATTTCCAAGGTTAGTGGTAACTTAGTCATGTGAAAATGGTTTTAATATTCAAGGACAATATGGTCAATTAATATTTTTATTTTAAATATAATACTTATAAAACAAAATATTTGATTATAAATTATTAAAAAATATTTAAAAATAAGATTTTGGGTAAATATGATATTTTAAATGTTAAGAAGGGCAAATATGATATTTAGGTTTTCAGCTGGGCAAATACGATATTTTGTTGTTTAACAAGGGTATATACGAATAGGTAGATAGATAGTAGTCAAATGACAAATAGTAACAACCTTCCTTAGTTGACTTATTCTTGTATTCACAAAAAGTCAACACAAGAAAAATGCTCATGTACCTGATTAAAATCACCAGTATGATAAAAAGCACCACAGCCAAAAGACTATATGCACCAGCTGTCATTCGATGATAAGGACCACATACAGATACAAGTTTAGACAGTGCATGTACATAGTAATAATGTTAGACCTTATTTGACTTATTATTGTATAAATGAAAAGTCAACACAAAAGATTTAGTTACCTTTGTTCCAAAGTTGACAGCATCTTCAAGTTTGCCTTTATCCAAAGATGTTTTAGATGACTCCAAAAGTGTACGCCCATCAGCAGATGAACATGCAACATGTTTATAAACAGGAACCATGCTTACAATATCAGACTTCTTGAAAGGGTAAGCTGAATCCATATCATAGTCTCTGGGAACAAGCTCGAGTCCAACTTTATGAGAAAGCCCTCGAAGAATGGCAAATTTACGAAGAGTGCCACCATAGTCACTTTTCTCTTCACATGCATATCTCTTTGAAAGAAATGATTCAACCCAATTCCACTTTAAATTTTCTAAGTCACTTGTGTCAGGTGTTCCTAGTAATACATTTAAGCAGGATGCTATTGATGAAGCTAAATTAGTTACATCATCAACTGCTGATATAACTGCTTGCAATATGTGTTTGTAAGCTCAAACTATCATTTCATGGATACATAGTGATTGCACATGAGGAAGCTTGTCTGCAAGTTCAACCTGATAAAAGAAAGCAAAAGACAGATTACTATACAAGATGTCAGGGGTAAAATTGGTATTGGAAAAAAGAAGAAATGAACTTTAGACTCTTACCAGTCGCCCTAAAGAGCACATACGCAAACCCCTTGTGTGCATGAAATCTGTCAGTGTCCTTCCATCAACAGGTGAAAGTTCAAGAGAGCCAAAATCAGCCACCAACTTAGGAAGGGCAGTTTCGTCATAGAATTTATGCGCCATGTCAACCAACTCATCAGGTGACTGTTAACATAAACCAAAATACCGAATCAAATACAAATCAAGAAACCAATATTACCCTTCAATATCAGATTATGCTCAACCTTGGGGTGAAGACCAGTGGCTGATTCTTTAAGACGCAAATAAGCTGCTTCCGGAAGGAACTTTCGCCACATCATCTCCTATTCTTCATCCAACTTTACTGTCTCTTTGTTATCTGATTTATTAACCGTGTCAACCTCCTCTGTTTTTCCGTTTTTATCCTCGGATTTTTTCTTGATTCCTTTCAACAATCCCTTTCCTAAACCCTTCACATCCGGTTCCACCTTAGCTTCTTCAACTCTCTTGGAATCATATTTCTCCTGATATGATGACTTGGAGTTGGAGTTGGAGATAAAATTTCTTCCTTTTGAATTTCATCGAGTAACGGCTCCTCACTCTGTCCTCCTGGTTTTCCTTTAATCTGAACAAATTTTAAAAGCAATATCAGACATACATATTAAAAGTTTTAATTACAAATATCTTGGTAACATTGACTTACAAGCTTTGCACGAGCTTGTTTCTTTTGGGCTTCTATTGCTTTCATATCTGCATCTGGTGCTATATAATCCAACAAATCTAATACACTGACCCAAGGTATGAGAAAGAACACAAACCTCAGGGAGGCAGCCTTCGTAATAAAGAGTAAAAAGTGCAGGAAATATCTTCTTTTTTGCAAGATCACCTGAGGCTCCAACAACTGTTATACTGAGTAGACTTGTCTTTATCAAAATCAAAGCTTCCAATGTCTTTGACCTCTTCTAGGGGTGGTACGGATAATATCCCATCTTTCAATATCTTAACAAGATCATCACTTTCAACAGGGGATGTTTTCATGTTTGTAGCACCTAAAAAGAAAGGGTATATAAGAGTTTTAGAATTAGAAGCAAAACAATACACTAACAAAGCATAGTATATTTGATAATTACCATCAGGATCACCAATCCCTGCCATTTGAAGTCATCTGAGTTTGCCAAATCTGAATTTGCAGGTGTAATGGCTAAGATTATACAACGTGGCTGCTTAATGTAGGAGAGTATCATTTCACGGAACACAGTAGAGAAGGGACCTGGACATGATGATAAGAAAAACTTAATCAAAACTATGAGTAAATTAACCTAATCACTGCAGATTACCTAAAAAATCACGAACCCTAGAAGTTTCTCTAGATTAATTTGGGGAAGTTGCATAGAAACTGAAACATACATAAGCCCTAGAAATCTATTAACACGTAAAGTACCTGACTGATGCCATCGTTGTCAAAAAGAAACTCCCGGAAGAGCTCGGCGATGCCCAATCATTGCGGTCCAAAGAAGCAGGATCTGCAATACGTGTTTTGCAACTAAAATATGAGAAAATC